ATGGTGAATGTCGACATTTACCGGTTAAGTCAGAAATAAGAGTATTTGGAAAATATTTCGGACATACACCAAGCGACTAGGTGAATGTCGACATTCATCGGTGAAAGTGGACATTCTCCATATTTCGGTGTTTCACCTTAACATATACATTCATCCAATGCCGCAAGCTGCGTATGTCTACACTTTTTATAATTTCATCTCAATTGTTTTTTGAAGCCTTTAATTATTTGGCATTTCTTGAATTCGGTATTTTTTGGATGCACGATATTATTCTTTTGGCTATCACGATAAACTTAACTTCATAACTAAATGTTTACGATAAAGATAGAAGAATTATTTAAAAACTTATTATTAGCTGTCGCAGACAAATATTCTTTATAAACGTACTTAATATATTATTTTAAAAACGCCTTTTGTTTTAAAAAAATAGTGCTCCTATTTACAAAAATTGCAGTTAAGAAATTTGCAAAGTGGTTAATTGCTAATTTGTCAAAGCATAGCTTTGATTTGAAAGATAAATCCAACATCAAACGACCGCGCCTGTGATAAACGATTGTTATCGAAACAAAATGGATGAAAATATTAAAACCATACAGAATGGCGACACCTTCCGGGCTGCACGGAGGTATATCACACCATAAGGATGCACATTAGCAATATAATGTAACGGAGTTATGGCAAGGATCTTGAGAAATGGAAAGACTAAGCTAGATACTGTTACGGATTTTGTATCTAGTTAGCTATTTTTGGTAGAAATGTGATTAAAATTGTTTTATTATCCCTTGTAATGCAGCGAGTTACAAGTTTTAAGAGAAAGCTACGCCCAAAAAGTAAGAATACAAGAGCGCGCTCATTTAATATACAGATATCTCGAAATTTATATTTAAATTGAATAAATGCAATTGTGTGTTAGCTGTAACTGTAATTCTACTCTTTTGCTTTCCAGAAACCTCGAGAAAATATCAAAATGTTCTCGTGCACGATTAAAAAGCTTTAAAAAAGCCGGAGAAAACCATCTCAATTCAATTCTTTACTAAGTTCTTATTGTTTTACTGAGCTCCTGCAATTTTGAGATCGGATTAGCTTTCTCTGCGCTTTGAATTGTGTTCTATTTAACGTTTTAGTAGTTTAAAATATAGCTACTGTGTGATAGTGTGATATTGTATGAATTATCTGTGAGGAAAAATTTCAGCATTTTGTTTTTATTTCTTGTGATAAGAATAAATTTTATTAACTTTTCATCAGACTTGTGTATTCAATCTATTACGAACCCTAACGCACGCAAAAATACGTTTCTAATGTTAAAATAACAGAAAGAAATAACAGGAAATGTTATCGAACGTATGATGGAAAATTTCTTCAAACAAGAACTTATCAATTATCTGCACGCAAGACAAAAAAATGTTATCCCTTGATAAAAAAGGGTTAGAGGTCATGTACATATCACGCGATAGATATATTTTTCCTTTTGTGTCATATTTATCAGCGGACATCACACTGATAGCTACTCGTCACGTTATGAGTTCGCATTTGAAGTTTGTTCTCTCACTCAAGGTATTTGTAGCGAATACGAAACGATTCTCGAGCCTGGAAATGGTTTTAAGTTTTCATAATTATCATCAAAAAAGGATAATTGTTAACCTTGTGGGCTACATTATGATTACTTCGAAGTATCTTATCTGTCGAAATATATCCGTATTAGTAATATGTATCCTCTTTCTCAGTAAATCGGTCATCATTCTGCCAGGTTATATGTATTTAAAAATTGTTTGAAACATATATACAGAGGGTGTTTACATATTTAAAGCGATTTAGGGACCGTTTAATTAATGTTAAAAGCATTTTTTAAATGTTAGGTCTGATAGCCTTTTTTCTGGACTATCAATCTGTGCCTTGATTTCCACAGAAGAAGGGCTTTTCATAAAATACCCAGGGTTATTGACTTCCATTCTTCTTCGACTACTTTCTAGAGTCCATCAATCACGTTGTGTTTGCGAATAGATAGAAAGAGCTGTTTTTAAGAGATTAAAGGTACAATAGTCCATAGATAAACATCAAGGGACTTCGCAGGTATGCAATAGCTGTATCAGTCTTTATTTTTTCAAGGAATGTAGTGGTACTTTTCAAAGTATGACGTGTTGCTTTATCTTAATTAAGTTTAAATATTTACTGGATAAGGGATAAATAAATGGAGTTTCTTCTATAAATATTGGGCTAAAAACTTTCTCTTGATAGATGTTGAACTGATTTTAACATTTTCTCTTTTTTCTTATTTTTAATTTCCCTTTGCTAGAGAATCCAGCGACAGTCATAAACCCCTTACTGAAACTTTTTTTACATTGACAGAACGAAGTTTGCACATTTTTTTCTCTTCGCTTTCGGTAATAAGTAGACCTTTTTTTGTTGCAGTCACTCAGGTAAATCTATGCTTCAACAAGTGTTACAATGTATTTCTAATTATCTCCTGAGAAACAGTTTTCGTGCAGGATTTTACAAATTGCTGTGCGTTGAGCCTCGGCAAAGGCTAGTAAGTATCATGTTTTTTTTTTAGATTTTGTAAGTTGTAAATCTGGGTTTGTTATTTTATTAATTGTTGCTAGAGATGTACTTAAAGATTCTGCAGTTAATTTCTCTGCATCGGCAGATTTTTTTCCTTGTTACCAAAGATTTAACTTTAGAAACATTAAACAGCATGTACCTTTTTCGGGTATTCATTCTTCTTTTCATATAGAAGTAATTACTGACGCTTTTTTACTTTCCGGTCAATAATGTTGCTTATTTTGCACTTAGAAATTTTAATACCAAGCATTTAAAAAAGTTTCTGAATTATAGTGTAGAGACATTAGGTATTTTTTTGGAAGCAGGCAAGATGAAAAATATTCAACGCCTTCTCCGAGAATCGAACCTCGGATCTCTCAGTTACGCGTTGAGCGTGCAGACCACCACACCACGAAGGCGGGAGAAATACCTTATAATACAACAGCAATATTTCTCTTTGAAAAGCTCAGAAACATATAATTCAATTTACAGCTTGTTTACATGCAGCAATTAGAAAGATGAATAAAAATAGCAGATGATATTTCTCATTTCAGATAATAAGCTTGCGGAGTCTCATTCGTTTTGGTAACATACACTAAGTCCATACTCTAAGCAGAACTATGCGAACGAATCATCGCTACGCCTAAACAGAAAGAGTCTAAAACATCCTTTTATTGCCAACTCGCATAGCTGAACAGAAGGCATTCCTGGTGCTTACAAAACCAGTCAACATTTATGTCATAAATTCAAGAGTAAGAAATTCAAATTTAAACTAAATCTAAGTCTTGAGCTACCCAAAGACTACGCAGAAATAATGAACGCGCAAGTTGGCTCAAATTCGCATCGACGTGAAAAGCATTATCATCAAGAATAACTAACGCCGCAGAGAGGACTGCTGTCTTAGAATATCAACTATAGTAACGTAGCCTTCAGGAGGTAGAACACGCTTTTACTAAAGTAATCTCAGACCCTCACTTAAATGTACGCGAGCTAAAATTGTCATTCTATTAGAAAAGCGGAAAAAGAGAAGTGACAGTAAAGAAGCTTAACATAAAATAACTGGTTACTTTAAATGAAATGCCTTACAAGATATTGCCAGAAATTTTTATTTCAAAACATTTTCTTTTTTAAAATTTGTAAGGTATATTTTAATTTTATAACTGTTATTTTAAATTAGTGAACATTTCCTGTCTTATCTCGTTTCAACTTACAACTCCTTACCAGAATGAGTTTTTAAATCGCTTTGAATGCAAATGTGGAAGAGAATAGTATTAAAGTCAACTTCAACTTCGAGAGAGCTAGGATTCTTGAGTAGCGCGTGTTTGCCTCTACGTCTCTTTAAGCTGTTGTTACGTGATATTTTGAGTGAATAAAGGGTAATTAAACGTTCCTGAGTTAAGCTTTCTGTTCTTGGAACTAAGAGATTATTCTCTTAGCAGTTCACTAGATTCCTCGACACTTAACAGAATAAAAGTGAGGAACTCCATAAGTTCTTTATCAATATCGTTTTAACAAAGTGTAAATACCTTCTGTATATATAACATACACACACACAAACACTCTCACTCAATTATAGTTATTCAATTAATAATTTCTATATCGATCTCAAAAGTAATTCACTATATCTTGAACCAATTAACGCTATTTTTCTAGCGTGCTTTTTTGTAGAATTTTTTTAGCAGTGGCCGAGTGGATAAAATCTCTGAAAGTTGGATCCAGATTCGAATTACGGTGAAATGATTGTCTGGGTAGGTATTTTTGTAGTTTTTCTCATATACAATACAGGAGACAGTTTTTTTAAGGAATTCCTATTTAGAAGCTTTCCTGATCCTAATAAAAATAGCCCTCGAATGCTCTGCCGTGTGCTCAGCCAGCCGACATTTACATAGTTTACCATGCGTCTGGGAAAGATGACATGTGCCGTTTTAGAGAGGAAAGATATTTTACATTAAAACTGGTTAGAAAAATAAAATAAACGTTTTAAAGTTATAACCTAATATATACGCATATTAAAAATTTCTTGGAATTATGCTTAAAATTTCTTCTGTAGTATGCAGATCTACTGGATATGTCACTGAGCACTAAAATTTCATCCAGAACTCGAGTTGCTTCCTTGGAGCACTTGATTGTATGAGGTTTTTCCTATTATGTCAAATTAGTTTTCACTTACAAAGCTCTTCGCGTTTTCAACGCAGATAACCTAGGAGTGCTTTTATATACAATTATTTGTTTTCCCAATCGTGCGTTTATTTTCTTTTCACTGAAAGAAACAAATATATTATAATGAAAGGAAGGTTCTCATACGAGAAAAAGTATACAACTCATGCACGCTATGGCTTGTGTTTGGTAATTATTTTGAACTTTAATTTAATAAATTCGAAATTCATTATTTCGAATAATAATGCATAACTTGTGTAAGACTAAATTAGCTCCAAAAATTTACTTTGTGTCCTTATTTACAGTTGGTGATGAGGTCTGCATCAAGGGACTGGGCTGTTTCAAATTGACAAAAGACTATTTTCATCCGCAATATCGACCTTGCAACGTGCTACCTGAACCTCGGAGTCTTATTCACACCAAATTTGTATTGTTCACGAGGAACAATATTCACCAAGGAAAATTCCTTGTAGCAGATAATGAAACCAGTATTAGAGAATCAGGATTCAATGCAAATCATTCCACCAGATTCATTATACATGGTTACCAGGAGAATCCTCTTCATGATGCATGGGTTTTGGTGAGTACACTTCTACTTCCCGCTTCTTGTGAAAGTGTCTAATGAGAGATGTTATATATGTTTATTGTTTGGATTATAATTTCTTCTGTAAGTTATATATTGAATTAAATGTTTTAATATATAACGAAGGCTTTGGGGACGATGGTGATTTAGTTAGAAGTTTCTCATGGCAATAACTTAAAATTCTACAACTTGCAAAGAATTATTACATTCGCTGTGCATGTTTTTTGGTGATGTGACTGGTTTGCATGTTTTGCTAGCAAATGAAAGGTTCACGGTTCAGATACCGTATATGATATAGTTGAGTTTTCACTTTCTCGGATTCCACCCGTATTTGGCCTGCCGGGTCTCGTACTTTTCCCAAGTTACTCTTTAAGTAGAGGAGAATATAAGGAATTATCGTAGTTCTACCTTGCATGCTCTTGTGTTGTAAGTAATCAGCATGACAGCTGGGAGATGCAAGATTCGGGGTTCGAATCCCGGCCAGAACACGGTTAATATTTCATTTTTCCGTTTCGTAAAACCTAATAGTCTCGTCAAAGCAGGAGAAAAACAGCGTGTTTCTGGCAGTTAGTTGGAACAAATTTGAAAGTTTAAACATCTCATCATTAAGGCTTTAAAGTTATTTGAAGGAGATTGCGAGAGCGTGTTTTGTAACCTGAAAATTATTTGTAATATACCTTCATGAATTTCTGAAAAGCCTCAACAAAAGACTGAAGTTTAGGAAACTATGTTAGGAGATTAGGCAATAACGGTTTACTCCCTCCAAAATTTTTTACTTGTTGGAGTTTTGACTGATACTGAACATACTTTATAAATTTCGCCATATTTTTGTATAAAAATTCTCATTCTCTCTCTAGACGTTCTTTAGTTTAATGCTAAGACTTTAAATATCAGATTTATTTTGATGGATTTTTGATTCCTAAATTGGGATATATCCTTGTAAGTGAAAGAAAACGCAAATTAAAATCCAACCATAAATGTTCTCATATAAAATTAATTCGGGAGGATCCCTGTCTAGGGTGAGTCAAAATGTTTCAGATCAATTGGGAACATTTTTGTAAAATACAATAATCCGAACTTTCATTACTTGGAATAGTAACTGAGATAGTTTCTGTACTAGATTCATGAAACTTCAAAGCGATTGCCACGAGTTACTATATTGCAGGAAAGCCACACTTGATTTTCTGCGATATAGCCTTTCAGCAGCTAAAAAAAAAAGAAAAAAAAGAGGGATGAACAAAGCTTTATAACAGAATAACATAAGCAGCAAGTAAACTATGTACTGCCCAAAGACAGACTAAGAGAGAAGATGAGGCTATCCAATTAGGAGGAATTTAGTTCGCTTTAGATTAGTTATGACTATGAATCCCATTTGTCGGCCTGCGACTCTAAGCATGTCATTCAGCTGTTTTGGCAATTAATTATATCTTCAGAAACCTCAAACTCACTTTACGCATGATTGTTTTATCCTCTTATAGTATGATAAAAACTGAGGCAGACGAAGTTATCCTTTGATTTAGCTTACAACAGTTGCAAATGATGCGGAGGATTGCAAGATGTTTTTACATCATTCGTCTCATTGTTTCACATGATCTCTCTTCCTTTAGGTGCAATTTAAATATAATTTGAATGCTTTTATAAAGTGAGAAATTTTAAGCATAAAGGTCAAATCATGTTTAAGCTGCTTACTTTCCGAGACGGGAAGCACTTTTGCGTATGCCGTCATTGGATATTTATGAAACCTCTTCGACTACTACTACACATTTCGTCCAATAAAGCGTCGTGATCACTTTTTGAGGATTAATATTATTAGATCCTCAATTTTTGAGGTGCAGTGTATCTTCCTACTTTTAAGCGAAGAAGCTGTCAAATCAGTAACTGCTAACATTTTCTAAATATTCTTCATAACTAGTAAACATTTTCAGTAACTGACAGAACAGCTGTGATAATATCAGATTATAATAAAGGCTTAGCTGACATATGATCCATACTGTTTTTTTGAACAGAAAATCAACGATCTGTGCAATTCTTGCTATGAAAATTTCATAAAGAGAGATAGCGCTAAACAGTTTAATTTTGTGTTGAAATTTCTCATATTACACCAATTCTAAAACATTATTTTATACTTATTTTAATCAAATTTCTATTAATGTGAGTGTAAAACACTTTTTTTGCCAGTCCAGTTTTGTACTGTAAGAATTATAGAAATATTTTCTTTTCTTAGTCTAAAAGGCATATACTTTTAAGAGCGATGAAGGTTTTTCATACTGAAATAAATACCGTTAAAATGTTATCAATTGTAAGTACAAAGTGCCCACCAAAGAAAGTGCAAACATTTTAAGAAACATTAGAGGTCTTTACAGAAGAGGAGAGAAGTAAATACTAGAAAACTAAATGTACTTTAAAACTGAATGCAGGCACTGAAGCTGTAAAGTAAAAAAAGGATTTTTTGGGTTAGAGCCATCTTTCTCTAAAAAATACATCTTTCAAAATTGTTGAACTTAACTCAGTAGAATGAAAGACATGGTAAGTTGCTGTATTTTAAATATGAGCTTGTGATAATGCAGAATTCAAGTAATTTAATGAGTTCCTTGCCGATTTCGCTCTTATCAAAGAATGAATTGAATTAATTAATTAATTAATACTATTATCTTTACATTCTAAAACATTTCCTTTTAATGCATTGTAGAACACGCTTTTCGAATTTAGATATTTAGACTTAATCAACAACTGAGCATAATTTTATAACTTCTTAAACAACCCTTTGATAGAATGTTATAAAATGATGCTCACTAATTTGCAACAGAAAAGTATTATGCACCGCCAGCAAGTGCAAAATTTGATAAAATATATGTGCAAATCACGCAAACGTCTGTCAGGGTTAATCAGTATATAATTTATTTATTTAGGAGCTATAAAGCTGGTATCTTCTACTCTTTAAAATTTAGGAGCATTTCAAGTTATTCTAATTTAAGTAGAATTAATTTTCTAAGGTATAAAATTTTATGTTAAAATTAAAAAAACATTTTATACAAATATAAAACATATAGATATAAAAAAAATAACTCACTCATTTGCCATAGCTGCTGAATGTGTTATTTTAAAATGTTACGTGTTATTTAAAAACTAATACGCATCTAAATAACGTTATTTTAGATTTAATTATATTTCCACGATTCATACATTATATAAATTTGCATCTTCTTGTGATTCAAACTTAGAGCTACAAATTTTGATTCTTTGTTTTCGGCAGCAATTTATTCAGATGACCACATTCAACAATTTTCATAAAATCATCATTTCTTAAAAGGTCTAGATGGAATTTTATGGTATTTGAGTTTAACTAACGTAAGTTTAATTTAATTTGCATCTTTCTTTATGACTTACTTGGTCATGAACTTGCTCATTCCAGAGATTTAGGCAGATTTGATTGGCAGTCGGTTTAGTATGAACTGAAGGAAGAATTTCTTACTCGTTATAAAGTGTATTAGTTGAACGTTTGGCTGTGAAGAATGCCCTACACTCTTGCCTTCTATTTGCGTTTGTTCGAGAGAAAATTAAAATTTCGCTACGTTAACTTTCAAAGATATATTAAGACTTGATATAGCTTTTTAGGTGTCCGACCCGAAGGATGTAGCCTTAATCAAAAATTGCTCAGATTTGTAATCAAAAGACTTTTACGTTCCAGCTTGTTACAGTAATAAGGAGACTGCACATTTGTTTTGCAGCATTTTAACTTTACTCTCATAAGCGATCAGGCATAATAAACTAATCATTTTGTGTGCTTTCACATTTAATCTAACTAACAGCGATAACTCATACCGCAGCTTTTAGGTAACGCTGAGGAATGAGAGTTAGATTTCTAGTAACTCAGTTAGCGATAGCCCCTCAAATGTTAAAATTGCAATAAATCTAATGGATACATTGACATTTACTTCAACTCTATTTTTAGATGCATCACAAAACGACTGAGAGTTAATAATGCCTGAAAAGGCAGAGCCCAAGAAATCTAAAAGACTGCGTGCCCAATGAAAGAGATGCTTTGTGAAGTTTTTTTTAGATGAAACTGGCAGGTATTCACGTTACACTCGAAAGAAACCACAAAAATTCCCATTCAGCCCGCCCGTTTGAAACAGGGAAGCAATGTTTTGTATTTTGAATTCACTATTTATTTGCTTCCAAAGCAGTATTCAAACCGCATTCTTTCGGCTCTTCCCTAACTTGGTTACAAATAATGCATAAAATTTAGTATATATGTGTATATAAATATAAAACATATTGCTTTATTTAAAGTGATTAATCACTTTAAATAAATAAGCTCTGCGATTACATGCTTCTTAGGCAAGTTCTAATAAATAAACTGTTCTTAATGAAGCAAATTAAAAGACAATGTAGAACACTAAATTGGAAAACTACACAACTCAGTATGCTGCCACCTTGCTTGCGAGAATCACTTGCAGTGATTGGGTTAGCTGATGACCTAGTTTAGAGAGGCTTACATTATTTATATATATATGTATATCCAAATGTATGCTAGGGAAATCAACCTATCACCATTCCATTCGTTCGTGCTTTTCTCTCTCTGCAGCTTCACAATTTTTCGCCTCTAACGGCGACAAAAACGTCATCAGTAGGCGCTTGTATTTTCTTCCGTTCTGACATGGGAATCGTCTTGATGACATGGCCACAGGTAAAAATCAATTTTCCAATTACAACATATTTCCGCACTAAATTCATAATATACATTTTCTAACATACACATTACGTTTACATTAATCTTATAATGCACCATAGCGTCTCGTGTTTTTTATAAACATATACTAACGAGACACTAGAAGACCATGTGAAAAATTGTCCTCAATTACGATAAAGTCCAGAGAAGTGCATAGGCAACCCTTTATTAACTCAATATAATCACAGATGCCATCTACTCATGCTTACAGAAGGCTTAACTCTTGGGTTTAACTCAAACAGGTAACAATAAAATTAAAATTAAA